AATGACTCATGAAACTCCAGAGACAAATGAAGTGTACAACATACTTAACCAAGGAGTTGATGCAGACCATTCCTTTACCGGGCTATGAGCCACATAAAATACCCTCCACAAACAAACGCACACAGGTACATAAATCGACTTATTGATATCCATATTCAGGTTACCTTTAGTGTACACTTTTATGTCATTATTAGCCATTGAGTTTTGAATTGTCATGAAGCTACACCTAACTAGCCAAGTGATTTCAAAAACCCGTCGCACTTTTGTACCCAGTTAGCTTAGTATACAGTGAACTAATTCGCAGGCAAAACTAGGAATATATATAAGGATTCTGTGGGTTTTCAAGAAATCATAGAGGGACAAACAAATCAACATGTATGCATCAGTTTAGCAACACACAGACTGGTTAAAAATGGTGACATTACCATGAACGTATGTGACAGCTGGAAGTATAACTGAGCATTGACTAACTAGAATCTTTAGTGTCTTTTTAAGACAGCGAAGAACATGTTTGTGATGTGAGCCGATTTTGGGTGATATGTAGAATTAACTTTTGAGAATTAAAGCAAAGTATAACTCCATCATGGATAAGATTTTTTGATAAAATCTTTGGCCTATCTTCCAGCTAACCACCCGACCGAAACCTCCTACCTAAACGAGGTGGTCAGACTTCCATATCCCCGTGACCGAACAAGCTGGAACTAATATTCCCGCAGGTCCTGCAATACCAGAAAGGCCGTTCGAGTAGCGATCAGACTAAAAGCAGTTATAATCACAGTGTAAGTTCTTTACACTATGTTAGGGGGTTTGTGGGTGAAGTTGCACTGCTGGTGAATAAGAATATGACAACAGTAAGGTTTCATTCTTAGTTTCTTATTTGGGAAGTACCATCAGCCAGTGCCAACGGGTTGATCTCTGACGAAATCTCAGCACGAATACAGGAGGCTCGTTTCGCATTTGCCAGTTTACGCCGTCTCTGACGTAGACTTGATATCCGGCTGGCTATCGACCAAAGGGCGGGTGTACTGCTCATCAGTCCGCTCCGTCCTCCTTTATGGTTGTGAGACCTGGCCACTGAGAGTGGAAGACATGAAAAGACTAGCTGTCTTTGATCATAGGTGCCTGCGCTCTATTTCCCGTGTAAAGTGGCATAATAAGGTGAGCAACATTGAAGTTAGGCGTCGAGTTCTAGGTAAACTGGGGAAATCAATCGATGAAGTTACAAAGACTGGGATGGTTAGGACATGTGTTACGTATGCCTGGTCATCGCCTTCCTCGACGACCAATGTTAGCTGATATAGGATCAGGCTGGAAAAAATCGTTCTCAGTGGCGCAGATGCATCCACTCCCTGTGACTTATGATCTTCAATGAAACTGTTTTGTATTTCTTTATTACTCCTTTGTCTCAAACCTCTGCTCACTGTTTCTATTATGCTTTTCTTGTACTTTCTTCTCTTGCTTCGCGTGCTACACGGAATGTGGCGACTTGAACTTCCGCACATTTGTGCAAAGTTCTATGTCGAAAACAGACAGACAGACAGGCTGGAAAAAAGCTAGCGGCGGTCAAACAAAAATATGGCACCAGTCAATGAAATCCACAACAGTTGGTCTAAGCCACGTAGAAAGGTGTAGACTTCCAGGCTGGGGTCCTCGGGACGGTAAAAATCTATGGTTGGAAACAATTGGTGACATGGCTCAAAATCGTTCTCAGTGGCGCAGATGCATCCACTCCCTGTGACTTATGATCTCCAATGAAACTGTTTTGTTCTTCGTTATTACTATTCATTTGTCTCACACCTCTGTTCACTGTCTCTATTATGCTTTTTTTGTACTTTCTTCTCTTGCTTCGCGTGCTACACGGAGTATGGCGACGTGAACTGCCGCACATTTGTGCAAAGTTCTATGTCGAAAACAGACAGACAGACATTCTTAGTTGACCAGCAAGCCATCTATCCTGCTTCTTCACTTTGGAGATGGGGAAGAAGTTGGAAAAGGTTGACCCCAAAGATTGTACATCTCAAACTACCTTGAGGCATAAGATCCTAATAAGGACGCAACTCCAAAAACCAATTCAAACAGGTCGTCTGTAACCGGACGCAAGCAGTTATCCCCTAGGCTCTGTGGTTAGGCACTACTAACCCTCTTTCTGTTTCAGGTGCCACAAAAAAAATCAACTCCCAAGGTGTGGGCAGCCGGGAGCACACTTCCAAAGGCGCACAAAACTCTTCTGATCTTCGCCCACCTTTGTCTAGGTCATCATCTACTATTGCTCCATAATTAGATCCCTTATCTTCTTTTAGCTCTGTGACACACAAATAGTCTCTTAAAACCACACTGCAAACTTCATATTACAACATTCGATGTCAGGTCCGTTTACCATAGCACGCAACAGGCATCACTAGCCAGAACTCTAACATCTCAAGCCGTGGATGTATGTTGCGTTCCAAGGACTTACACAGGACCCAGGTATGGTTAACCACTTAATCCCACCAGGCCAACAGAGTGAATCCGTAAAATTCATCTTGTGCGTGTCAAGATTTTTTGGCTAGTTCACGTAGACTTGCTAGTAGAGGGATATCATAGGGTGCTATGACGGAAAAATCCTAACTCAACTGGGTCCCAGTAGATAGTCATCTGTGTGCTGTCCCGCTGGATGAATTTAATAGGAAAGATTGTGATACCCGTCGGTTTCCCCTCAAATCTGCACTTACGCCCCCGACAGACTGCAGTCCGGGCGGTGTAAATGAGGAGTTATATCAAACGCTGTCTAGTACGTTACTAAGAGCGATAAGCTCAGATATAGTCGTTTTAGCACGCAACTTCAATGTTCAAGTACTAAAGCTGTGCCATTTTGAGAAGCGTATTGGCAGTACCTACGGAGTTCCATGCCACCGAACTCAAAACGATGATCGTCTTCTACGGTTCTGTTCTGACTTTGAACACAAGGAGAAAAACGGCTTAACCTGGTGACCTCCATCATCGATTCAACGATGTTCAAATAGGTTACGTAGTGATAGGCTATCGGTGGATAGGGTCCGTAAAATACAGTCACCCCTTGTGGAACACCTGCATAGATTTCCATCACACTATAGTCCGTGCACGTATACACCTACGATTGAACGAAAACAAAAAAACAGAGAGCAAATCCCTGCTACGTCCCTAACTTGAACTAACTAAACGTGTATCTGAGAATGACAGTAAACCATCCTGAAGAAATTTGGCATGATAATCAGTTAGCTGAAGGGACAGTGATGAAAGCTGTTCATAATCTAATACCGAAGAATAGAAAGAGCCAGTGGAGTTCGGTCGCTTCTTCCGAACTGACAGACGCAAGAAGACTGATTCCGACGGGCCCCGAACATGATAAGTCAAAGGTGTTCAAACTGGCCAAAAGTCTTTGCAACGGCCACGAATACCACTGGTCGACAAAAGTGAAGGAGATGGAAAATGCGTCAGCGATAAGCAACACCAAACAACTATTTAGGCTTATTAGGGAAACAGGCTACTAAAAGTAAGTGATAAGTCAGACAATCTTTGAGAAAAGGGTTGCCCTAATTAGCTCATGATAGACGGCTGGGACGTTGGAGAGAGCATTTTTAAGTTTACAACCACACTCAACTTTTCTACTATCCAATGGCCACCTGAATGGGGTGTAGACATCAGTCTTCCATCTGTAACTGAGGTCACAAAAAGCTATCTCTCACTTAGAACGAGGCAAAGAAGCAGGATCCGATGAAATGACTCTAGAGATGTCTGAGGACAGTGGTGACAAACTGTTGTCCGGGTAATGTTTAGAAACCAGACATAATTCTGCCAGAATGATGCAAGCCAATGATTACCCCAGTTTATGAGAAGGAAAACAAGTCTACCTGTGAATCATAGGGTTAATAAGCTTGACTAATATAGTAACTTAAGTTCAATAATCATACGCAAACCCAGGATTACTCGGAAGAAACAAACCCAGGAAAACTAAGGAAGCCTTAGACCAGGAAGAGGATGTATTGATTATATCTTCACAGACCCGAGAACATAGACATACTTACCGGCGTCCAAAAATTGCCACATTCCTAGACCTGAAGACGCCATGAGACTCTATCAACCAAGATGCCTTGTTTGGTGGTGAACGGAGTGCCGAGGAAGTATATTGCACTAATCACGGTGTACCACTAGAATTCACTTTTTTACATGATCTTTTCAAAATAGTTGACTGTAATCAAAATTGATGTGTGTTGTGCACAGAAGTTTGCCTTGTCCTACTTTATGGCTGAGATAAGGCCATTGAAATCGAAGGTTAGTTGTCTTTGACCACAGATGTTTGCGTCTCACCTCTCGAGTAAAGTGGTATGATATGAGAAATATTTAGGCTAGGCAAAGTGTTAAGTAAGAAGGGTAAGTCAATCGATAAGGCTGTGAAAGTACATAGATTGAGATGGGTAGGACACGTGTTGCAGATGATAACTGAGGCTAGCTGACATAGAATTAAGTTGCATAAAAAAGTGTTAGGGTTGTTGGTCAGGTCGAAACGTGGCATGAATCTATGAAGTCTTTGGCAGTCTGTTTGAGCCACTTAAGGAGGAGTAGAGTGCCTGATTGGCTGGGGTCCTCGGGATTCTGATAACCTACGGCTTGAGTTTCTTGGTAGTATGGCTGAAAATCGTCCTCAATAGCGCAGATACATTCATTCTTTGTGTTCTCCCATATTCACTAAAGTGTCATGCTTTTCTGAGTTACTACTCATTTTCGCATTTCTGCTTATTATAGTCCCCCGAACTTTATTTCTCCCGTTTGTCTACTTTTGTAAGCTACATGGAATTTGGCGACCTGAACTGCTGCACTTCTGTGAAAAATTCTATATTAGAACTCAGTCATTCCATCTTACACACATATATACACAAATTATGCTAAATATCATAATAGGCATGTGGGAAATCTAATAACGTAAGCTTCGTTATGAGAGAAATATCACAAAACGACACTACTTGATAACAATAATGACTTACACATCTTCACTCGTCACTTTGAAACCATCGAACATATGTAGGTTCGGTAACCATCCTAAAACAAACATTTTGTGGTCGTATGCACTTTAAGGATTATGTCAAGTGGAATTAGCGACAAAACAAAAATGATAGGGTATTCAACTAACACACTGCAAAGGATACGTTGATTCTGCACAAGGATTATTCCTTAGGGAAAACTGCGTAAGCATAGTGAGGCACGATAGCTCTTGCACCTGTGAAGTTATATTTTATGCATAACCTTACCTCCAAAATATTTGAAATCACATTACTAGCCAGAGATATGATTTCAAGTGATTTCGGCAATACTTTTGATGCATTTTGAATGGTAGTAATATGATTGCAGTGTAAGAGAAGTGTCTGATAATACCAATTAGTAATTTGCTAAATACTTTCAGTTTCACTAAGAATGATAAATCGCTAAGCTCAGAAATGTAGTTATCAGATAAATCAAGATGCTTCAAGTTTGTATTCTTCTCTAATTGTTCAATGACCTAAGAAGACAACTCGTAACTCAGTTCATACTCACTTTAATTTTATTTCCTGACAAGTTGAGCCACCTTAAACGAGTAAGTCTGCTTAAACCTGAAATTAAGTAAGTGACAGGTATACAAATTCAAGTACCATCAATGGAGACGATTCCATTGTTCGGTAGATTCAAGATAGCCAGATTCGCTAAATGTGCAACTCCATGCATTTGTAAAATTCTGTTATTAGCCGCTGAAAGCTGTCGGGATTATTTGGATTGAACTAACGAACCTGTTGTAAACCACACACACTGGAAAGGTTTTCAAGGCGACGGATATAATTTTGGTCTAAGATAAGGATATTTATATCATTTGGCACTTCTTCAATATTTTCCAAGGCACAGTTAGAAAGGTTAAGAGTGATTTCCCCATGAGGCCCAAGAGATCGAGACGTATCCCAAATCCTCTGCTTCAGCATGACAAATTTTAAAATCCAGTCAGCAACAAGGTCAGCCAAACAATATGATGCATAACATGTTTACGCGGGTAGGGAATAAAGGTCAGTCAGCTGATTGATGTGAAAATCAGCTGACTTCATTTAGTTGTTTTAAGCTATTTACTTGTTATGTCTAAAAAAGATTCCTTTAAGATATTTTTTGGATAAGAAAGCCATTAGTTTTTCCATGCTTTATGGTAGCGTATGACCTATTCGAACGTTGTGTCAAAGACGTGTACTTGGAACCGTTGAGAATATCACTTAGTCACTTCGAGTCATAGAAGATCCCGCTGAAATTGTTGGTCATTTAAATATCAGTGAAATATCTGCAACGGATGTACAGGAGGCCAAAGTATGTGCTAATAATTTTCTCTTCCTGATAGACAGAACAATGAAGTAACTTCAACTATCGACTTAGATATGTTAATACAAACGTCAACACCAGGTACCAATCCATCCCCTAGCTACTTGACTGCCAACATCGCGCTTGCCGTTGACCAGGCAAATATGGTGTTTCTGATGGTTGCTCAGATTGTTAAACACACAAAACGAAGGCGTTTAATAATATCATCCCAGATATCTTTTCATAAACCCACTCTGATGGGGTGTTCACTGGTGAAATTTACGTCACTAACATGTGTAACAACAAGTGAATGTCCTAAGATGCCTTTGGACCACAAATCGCCCTCTGCCTACTGGTCGTATGCACCGTGCCCTTTCATCAAGTGATATTTCAAGCATCTCATCACATGTCACACAACAAATCTGACAGCTAGTCAGTACACGCTTTGTCTTGAGAGGCTAGATATTGAGGCTTGGAGTTCGCAATCTGCTACCTCTTCATGGCGTAAAGGCTGAAACATCACCACCTATCCAGCATCTGCCATTCTCTCGCCAAATTAAAGTACCATAATTTTTCAAACCTGATCCATCCTTCTACTAGAGTGGCTCCTTTAGTGTTCATTATTAAGGGAAGGATCCAGAATTAAACAGCAGACAGGTATTAACGGATCTTGTTTCAAAGTATGTACTTTGCATGCAATCTGATGTAAGTCGGCTATGTCTTTTGGTCTAGATAAAATTTCTGCAAGCAAGATTTCCTTTACTGTGACTGGTGAGGTTATGTATTCCTAACATGGTTTGTGAAACGTCAACTACAGCCGTTTTTCGCGTAGATGTCTTCAGCCACTTTGGAGACTTGATCCGTTCCACCTGATGGAATGTATGTTTATGTAGCGCCAACACTATCACTAGACACACACTAAGTGCTAGGACACGATAGGCATGATTGACAACTCCTGACCGTATTCCCGGTAGTTTTAATGACACTTGCCGATAGTCCAAAAGCTGTTCATTTCGGTCGAATATCTTCCGTAAGTGCTTTTACCATAGAAACAAACTGTCTCACCTAGCCATCTACACAATGCTGCTAATTGAGTTTTGTCACATAGGGACTATTTATTTTTATTTGTTTGATTACAGCTTGATTCCACACTGTATTTTCGGTACAAGTATGGAATTTTCAGCATGGATATCGGCAGCCCAAATTTTGCAGACCGACCATAGATATCAGGTGTGTGTCGGCAGGGTATCGAACCTCGGACCATGTGTGTGGTGGGCGACAGTCCTAACCACTGTGCCACCGACGCACAGCAAGGCGTACTTCCCAGGAACTTCCACGGCTTTCTATTCGAGTTCAGTGCTTTAGCGGACTTTACCGTCAACCTCATCTAGGTCAAGGGCTCCCCCTCGGATTTTTTCAAGCCGTCTAAAAAACATTGTACGTGAACCACTTGGTCCTGCCACGTCTGACTATATGTGGCTGGGTTATAACCGTACGCCTTTGCGTTCATTACGTTAAATGAAACAGTGTCATCAGTCGTCTGAATGTAAAATGTACACCTGTGGACCCGACCAGCTTACGTTTGAACCAATGTTATTTCAGTCTCGTAATGAACATTTGGTCGGTATCTGCCAGTGACTCTTTTGGAGGTTCAGAACTGCAGATAAACGATAATCATACAGGTGGTTTTAGGTTTGATCTACAGTCGGCACAGAACATTGTCTGGATTCCGCAACGCCATTTACATACTGTAAATTGATGCAAATATGTTGCCAGTGGACGTGAACATTGAACGTCTGGTTTTGAAACTGGTAGCCATTGGTGGGCAACTCGAAGGCGCGAGTGGTTCAATCGTGTACAAGTTTGACGAAGATGATCAAAAACGAATAAAAACTTGTATTGTTCTCCAATTTAATTGCCAAACAATATAACTTCCATCTTACAGTACTGGTGTTTTGGAGTTAAAGTCGAAGAAAGTACGTAGTATTTATCGGTGCGGAGCATCTTCGTAACAACAGGAACTTAGGGATAAGTACTTTGACAGTTTTTATTCGTTTTCTGGAGCGCCTTCTGGGGCAGTTTCTATTCATCTGTTTATTTGTTGGAGCGCCTTTTGGAACTCATCCGGGTGTGCTTTTTGGATATTCAGCCATCATCTCTTTGGACACGGATTATCGACGCAATTTGGATCCTTTGGTGACGTTGAATAATGCCTGGGTCAAGGAAGGGACATGGCACCATGGAGGCAGACAAAAAAGTAAGTAACGATGAGTCACCTCTTAATTTTAATGATATGTATGATGCTCAGCATGATGAGTCTGATCTCCATGTTTCGCCGTCTAGTGACAACAGAAGTTTTACAATTCCTAAGTTTGAACCTAGGTAATTTGATGGAATGAGTCGACTACCCGCAGTTTATCAAGGAGTTTGAGATCATGTTGAGTGGGTTTGCAATAAATGACGAAATGAAGTTAAGTATTGATTTTGTGGGGATTTTGTTTCATTTTACGGAGGATTTTCCCATGAGTTGACAATGGTTAGAGAACCGTTGGAAAACCTGGGATTACTGGACAGCTGTTACGGATTTTTCAGCAGATCGCCTTGTAACCAGTAGGTAATGGGTTCGAACCCCGTTGGGTGCCTACTGCTGAAAAGTCCTAAACTGGGACGAAACAGTTGTCCGGTACTCCCAGGTTTTCCCATGGTTCCTCACCATTGTCAACACATGGTGAAATCCTCCATGAAAAGAAGTTGATCTATTTGTTGAGGTACTGCATTGGTGTTGCTTCAAGAGCTAAACACTGCTTCATGATTGTCTCCAAGCGAAGAATATACTGAGGCGATGCGCATCCCGCGTCAAAGGTTTGGAAGACCTTCGATGATTGTAAGGAACGTATTCGAGGCTGTCAAAGGTAGTGGTAGTCAGTTACAAGATGACTCCAAGGCACTCTCTGAGTTTTTGTATAATCTGATGACTCACAAGAATACGTCGATTTCGATGAATTGCATGAGTGATCTGAATTCCAGTTCACTCCTAGGGGTGATAGCGAGACGCCTACCTACTCGACTGCAAAGGAAGTGGGTGAAGATGACCTCTCGTATAGAGGATGAAGGTGTTGAGCCAAAGTTCGATGATATTTTGAAACTGATAAAAGAAAGTGTCAATCAAGCTTTGAGCAAATTTGCCAGAAATTGTATCCCACCTCTGGAATAGAGAAGAGAGAGCGATACGCAGTCATTTATGACGAAGGGGTCTCTAAGAAGTCGATATCACGAAAACTCTATGGTGTCGAGTAATCCATATAAACTTAGTGAGTGTAACAGCTTTCGTGGGACATCCCCAACGGACAGGTTACAAGTTGCGAGACCAACAAGGTTGTGTTTCACAAGTTTGCAAGAAGTGCATACAAAGGCAAACTATGAAGCAGTGGGCAAGTTTAGTGGTAAGCTAAATGTGAAGTCAGCGTCATCAAGTTCTGACTCCACAAGTTTTCAAGGGATTTCTAGTCAGAGTGAAGGTATAAAACCTTTAGGGATTTATGAGGAAGAACCCAAATTATCCACTGCTGTTAATAAAGAGCTCGAAAATGATGAAGTCGATCATACGAATGGCGGTGAAGTGGATATTTGTGACAATGATCATGATAAAGCACATTTCTCTTTGGTTGATCATGATGAGATGAGGGATATGCCCACTACTGCTCAGTTGAACAAAGGTTCTGTGCAACTTGAACGTGAAGTAGAATTAAAGGCAGATGCAGTTGCAGAAGATATGGATACTCGTGAGACCGTCAGTGTAAATGATCCGCGTGTAGTCCACCTATCGACAGATGCTGAAGCTGAACTGGAGCTAATAAAAAAAATATAGCAGTGGTGGTAATCTTGTGGTTAGACAACTTTCTGAAGGTCGAACGACAACAGCTTATGAGGTACCAAAACGTTTATCAACTTGTACAGCTCAGTCATCGTTGGTGTTGTCATCCACAGTGAAAGGGAAGTCCATGAACTCAAAAGACTTGTGCTATGACTTTGCTAGTATCCGTCCGTTTAAAAGGAAGAAGGTCAATTGTGAGTTTAGTGAGGATAAGCCAACTGTGTATGAGAGGGTAATTGTTAAAATAATTTGCACGAGTAAAGCCTTTTCAAGTTCCAAGTTGCTATTTGAATGCTATTACCGTTGGTGTAAACTACCTTGAGCCTACGCTTGGTTGGTCAGACAAGTCGTATGTTTGTTAGTCGTCTACATTCCAAGATACAGTGTCATGGGCGTGTCATCGTTCAGAGTTGAGGATATAGTTGATAGAAGGAGGTCAGCAAATGAACTCTGTGACGATTTTCCAACCTAGGGCGTCAACCTGAGAAGGGTTGTAGGCGTACTGCTGTAAGTCCTACAGTTCTTCAAGGGTAGTACGTCGAAGCACAGTCCATCGTACTTGGTGTGTTATTTTGTACATATGTTCATGTTGTATATGCTGAATTGGTATAATCTCTCATCTATCTGTTGGTTAATCTTGTTTGTGTCCGGACATTCTTCAGCTTACAATCGTCAACCTGAGAAGGGTTGCAGGCGTTTTGGTGTAAGTCCTGCAATTCTTCAAAAGAATTACATCAAGACATGATCTGCGAGGTTATGTGTACT